CAAAATAATATTTTTTTAATTTTTTTTGTTTGAGTGGGTGGGGCTAGGGTTGCGGCGCCCCATGGCGCTTCCCAAATCTCGAACCCCCCTCCCCACTGGCCGCCATGCGGCCGCAAAGTCGCGAGGCCACGCGGACACGTCCGCGGTGGCCACCACCGAGGGAGATCCGTAGAAGGTAGTCATTAACTACCATGAGCTCTTTGTTGGCACAGGTCGACTCAGGCCCTTCACTTGCCTCTGTAAGCACAGCCTCTCAACGCACGCGCGACTGATAAAATTCCTCGTCGAGAAAGTGTCATAATAGGCCTCGACGTTACGGTCGCTGATGACTACCTCGCCGACCAACATCTCACCCTTAGAGGCTTTAGCCATGGCCGTCCAAGAGTCTAGCGGGTCTGATCTAGACCACTCCTCCTCTAGCTCCTCTAACGACTCAAACACATTCATCGAACAGAGGCTCGATGGGTCCGAATGTGTTTGCGGGACAACAACGAAGTTAGTAGCTTGGGCCATCTATCGAGATGGTGAGGGTGTGTCCACCACCTCGACCCTAGCAGGAACGACAACTATTCCTACTGGCCCGACGTATTTCACGGAGCAGTTCCAGAACTACCAGCGACATTGCTACCTACGGGAGCGGAGGATCTCAATGCCTGCCTCATTGTAGGCGGGATCTTTTCAATCACCTTCTTATTTCGGCACATGAACTAATTATGACCATATTGGCCACAACGAATACAAGTCTGCCGAGTGTACCGATCCCTTCACACGTCCTCGATAAAACCCGCTTTCTCACATGGAAGAGCATTGGGGTCAACTTGATTCCTAGACCGGGAGTCTCTACGGCATCGACCGGTCGCCTGACCTTTCTGTACTGTGGCAGCGACTACTCCACCCCCTGAAGCTTCTACACTGCCCGCCTCTGCACCTACCCCCTCATGGAAGTCGTTGTCCAACTCAATGGTTGATCCATCGTTGTCGATGAACATAATACGACCCTTTGCCTTCAAGTTGGGAGCCAGTGACTTCTTCCTTCCATCCGTCGTGGGTTGATGTCCATGCCTTATCTCTACTTCCATGTCTAGGGCCTTCTTGCTAAACGAGGGAAGGTTGTGCACGTTGATGTTAGCCTCATCCGCCAACTGATTCCTAAGTGGCATGGGAAGACACCTCAGGTAAGTGGTCACTAAGACTTGGGAGTTATAACGCACTCCAGCCTCCAGGTACACAGATGAGACACTCTACTGTATTTGTGGCATCCCTTAAGGACTTGAACGGTCAATTGCTCAGAGTCAGAATAGCAGTAGTGGCATTTTGGGCCTCCTAAGGATCATGCCATCTCTCTCCCACTAGCTTAAGGAAGTTTTCCAGTTTCTGGTTGACTGCCCAAGCGCAGAAGTTGTGTCTGTATCCTTGTAGTTGCACTAGCCCACTTAACCATCTTGCTGCACTCCCCTCAAGATAGGAGGCAGCCACAAGCACTTCCTTGTGCGGTAAGGTCAACTTACACTTTACATAGATTGGCACTGACCTCAACCAGGTGTCAAGGTCTTCACCTCTCTTATCCCCAGAGAAGGGTTTAGGAGATGCAATGGTCGTCTTTGGAACCCACTAGCCCTGTCCCGGTACCTGTCCCACTCTGGGATGTGGACCCTGGGCCGCAGGCTGCTGCACTAACGGCTGTTGTGCAGGCTGCCCAGTTATGACAACCTGCAACGGAGGTTGGAAATACACTTTCTGTACAGGAATCTGTACACTAGGATCTGTCGAGAACCCTCCTGTCAATGACATACCTAGGGAAGCGGCTTGGACAGATGTTGGAGCTATGTATGGGGATACCCAACTCCCCGGTGGGACAAATTGTACCACGGGCCAGGCAACAGCCCCTGATGGTGATGGTGTTGCCTGAGCTCGCCCGACCAGCACGGCGAGGCTCTCCTGGATATCCTGTAAGAGAGTCGTCTGATGGTCCTGCATTTCCACTACATCTAAAAGGACGGCACGCAGGGTCCTCACATCATCCTCCATGTTTGTGAGGTCCATCCCCTCTAACTCACTAACGTCTGCTTACCTCGGCTGCATCCTTGATCTTCTCCTGAGCATTCTTTCTTTTTTCTGCTTTTATCTCTCCTACAGCCTTTTGTAGCTCAGTAGTTGTGCCTCCTAAAGCGTTGCTCGTTGTATGGCGACCTCTTCACAGGTCAACATTATTGGTTGGCTTGCCATGACGCCGGTGGACGGACTCAGGGTCTGCGCAATCATTGACCCTACGGTCCCTGAACTGCTGGCCTGGGAACTCTGCTGCGCAGCAGTTGCCATGGCTGCTGAAGCAGCGGCTTCGCTTGTGAACGTCCGGCTAACCACAGCTGCCCTAGCTCTCCACTGCTGCTGTTGTCTCTCCTTGAGCTGGCGGAACAGTCACCTATCAACCTCGGGTCCTAATGCCACGTGGGCTATCGGGCGTCTAACCAATCGCAAGATCCTGTCATCCTCGCTAGTGGTCTCCCTGTCGCTCATAAGCTACAGAACTATACACAATTTGCACTAGGTCACACTCGATGCCTACCGCAGCGTAATGCAGACCGATTTAATAATCAATCGGTGGCTAAGTCAGAGTATATACATTTGGGTTCAACATGTAAGTTCAGATCCCTACAAACGAAACTATTTTTACTTAACAAGTCCACGAACAGAAAGAAAATTCCTACCTAATGTTGTCTGTCATATGTCAATGGCAGTCCATCTAACTAATCAAAATAAAAAAAGAATCGACTGTGTGCTATGTATCACCCGAGGCCGCGACCGCGGGCCATTTTACCGTTCGCGGTCGGGATCCCGTCCGCGGCGGCCGACCGCCCACGGCCGAGTGCGGGCATGAAACCCTTTAAGCGCGGTGGGCCCGCGGGGGGGAGGTCGTGTTCCGCTGCGCGCCAGAATCGGACCGAACTTTTGATTCGGCCCAGCGGATGAAGATGATCGAGGGCGGGGGTGCGCGCAAAGCGGTGCGAGTACCCGATTGTTCACAGTGCGCCGGCAAACGAGAGAGCGCGCCCACAGGGGCCGAGAGGCGGCGGGCATCGATTCGAGTGAATATCTCGAAGGGCCCGCCGTTGGATTGCACGAAAAAGAAAAATTGCAGG